TTCAATGAAGTTTACTTTCGAATAATTTTCCACTTTGTTGTCCCGCATGGAAGGCTACCTTAATTCCGGGGCACTATAATCAATTTTCCCGGAAATTTCCTTACTGGGACCACTATTCTGGTTCCGCTCGATTGCCAAATTGTTCTCAATAGTTGGGAAAAACTTAAGTGTGACATTGCATCTGTTCGACTTCGTCTAGAAGGTCATTCTAGTGCCGAACCGAGACCATCATCATCCAAGAGCTCTCAGCCAACTCCTTATTTTCTCAAAACACAGTTGTCCTGGTTCCCACTGCCGTGATTCGGATATCTGATGGGATAGTCAGAAGCTCGGCAAGAGCGCCTGACAGATTCATTAAACCTAACCACACTCACAACGGACAAGGAAGCCCTGTGCACCTTAACTTTGAGATCGATTCTGAGAGTAAAGCTGATGCAAAACTACGTGTCAATTATCGATACAGACGCCCACAAGAGCTCTGTCCGAGGAGTTCCGGACGAACTATAAGAATTTATACTAGGCCGATTCTAAGTTCTTCGAGCGTGCCCCTACAGTATTATTATAGCTGGCCTCTACACTAAAATAGTTTGAGGTGGCACAATTTCCAGATCATGACTGCCATCAATAAAATATTCAACTCTGCGATTTATTATAGCTGGCCTCTACACTAAAATAGTTTGAGGTGGTACAATTTCCAGATCAGGACTGCCATCAATACAATGTTCAACTCTGCGATTTATTATAGCTGGCCTCTACACTAAAATGGTTTGAGGTGGTACAATTTCCAGATCAGGACTGCCATCAATACAATTGATCAATATAATTGATCCAAATGACGACATCTTTCTTCAGCTAACCTTACAAGCAGAGGCGTTTTCCCGTCGGACATTGTCTGCAATGACTTATAGTGGAGCGCGCCCCTACAGTATTATTATAGCTGACCTCTACACTAAAACAGTTTGAGCTGGTACAATTTCCAGATCAGGACTGCCATCAATACAATATTCAACTCTGCGATTTATGGACCGTATACGTTCTAGTTTCTATTCTAAAACAGACTTCCCCAAAATGTCTATCGTCTAATAAAATATATATTTCTATTCTAAAATAAACCATTCATGAATTCTAATAAAATTTTGCACTTTGAATGAAACACTAACATTTTTCAGATAACGGACATTTCATTCATATTACATTATAATCCGGAAAAGTACACACGACATGACCTTATTCAGTTGGGTTATAATCAAAATCGTAGGTGAAAGGTAAATATTCTTCGGACATGTCAGGTTTTCCTGATTCTTTTTTCTTTTCAGGTTTGCTGTACATGATGGAATTTGGTCCAAAAATAAATGTTGTGAAACTATAGTAAAATCAGTTCCGATTTGGATATCAATTTGTTAAGAAACATAGACCCACCACTCTTTGCAATAGAAGTTTAATTGAGGAATTATTAAGGGTAGGTATGTTGATTCACTTATGGTTCTGAATGAAAAATAAAACAAGTTATTGACTACTTCCGCCGCATTTCTGTTATAAATATAGAGATGTGCTTATTTACCGCTTTGCGGGATTAATTAGTATTCAATTTTTTTATATTTTTTGGAGGAGGTACAATAAGAATGGCCTGTACATTCTATACATTATAGAAATATTATTAAATTAAATTGAGGGGAAGTTAGTTGAAGAATAGGTCGATAAGTTCCATATTCATAATCGAAGTTAGAAGAAACGTCTGCTAATTATTTTTAATTTTATGACACTTGACTTATTTAAAATTTTGAAGAGGGTCGATACTCACATTAGTGCTCGAGTTTAGTCAAACATTGTGATATTCTTAGTTTAAAGAAAATCGTCAACGGGTTTCAAGGTAAAATCAACAGTTGATCAAGGGAGGTACCATAGGATATATTCCATATTCACAACAGATTTTATGTTACATATTGTATCAACATGTAACCATTGTATCAACAGGTTAAGTACGTAAATGGGCCTTGTATAGCCCCCATATAATTGTACCACCATATATTCACTATTTTGATGATTTTAGCGACATTATTCACCGGCTTACGTAAATTACATATTTGGATATGTTAATGGTTGTACAACCTATTAAAAAAATTGTCATGCAGGCCCACGTCTTCGTATAGCCCATGCATAACAGAACCTCCTTTTATTTTTATGTAGTTCCTAACGGTACCTCCCTTTAGACTTGATTTAAAAACCACATAATATTCTTATATTATATTTTGAATGCGTATAAAATCTAAAGTGTAGCTCTGATTTTGAAGACAATCCAGTTGCTGTTGTTGATATAAGCGGTCAAAATGAAACAGTAAGGAATGGACCAATTGAATTAAAAATTGAAAGCAATACACAAATTCCGCAATCTACGTTATCGTATTTTCTTATTATTCGTGATAAATTTCGACAGGATTCTTACATACATACCAAGGAGATAAATCACATTTTACTTATATTTTAATACAAAACGTAAAACATAAATATATAAAGTTCTATCTGACAACTGTGGCAAACTTTGGCAATTCTATCCTTATATACATCATGTTTCCTTGATCTAAATGTTTACATTCTATTAAAATAATTAAGCAGAAAACCTCCTCAATTGCATATTTATTTAACTCACATTTTTTACATCCTTGGACTTTTTTAATCCTTCATAAAAAACACTTGATGTTTTCTTTGTTGCATTTTCATATTTCATCAGACCTATAACCATTTTATTAAGAAGTGGATTATAAATGTTAGATGGCGATAAATATGATGTATCGAATCTCGCCTTTATGTATTCTAGTTCCCTATAAAGATCCCAAAAGATTAATAGATAAGAATCGGAATCCATTAATTATTATCCATTATTAATTTTAAAAAGTCGAATAGGAAATCACATCCTTTGATATCTTTAAAGCACTGTATCCTAAATACATGGGCTTATTCTAATTTGGACAATTTTTCCCTTGTTACCATTTTCCATTACTTTTCTTTATACAGAATTAATTAATTATTTGTACAAATCGAAGATTATTATTTTACATAATATAATTTTCAGCCAATTAAATTGTAGAAATGACAAACAACTAAAAACGTTTAAAAAAAAAAACTGAATATTTACTAATAACTTCGACTTCTACATCGAGAATTAACCAGCTGGAGAATTTTCCGGAAATGATAAAATATCACTAATATCAATAAACTTTCCCATTTCTTGACCTTTTTAGATATTTTCGTATGACGGATAGCAACAATAATAAAAAAAAAATCTTCATAATACCCGCTATATGGATTCATTACTAAAATGAAATCTTACGCTGACTATTTCTTGTAACAAATTTAATGTCAATTTTACTGAAAATAAGAGAGGACAATCTAATATTTTGGAAAACAATGCGTGATATTGTCTTCATACTTATCCTTAGCGAACCCAAATTCAATCATTCAATATATTATACATTTGACAATGAAGGGACAAAAATTAATAATAATAATTAATATTAATTAATTAATAAGTGTAATCGTATGATATCATGAGATGACCTTGGTAATTGTACCATGGTTTTACCTTGGCATATTTATAATCTGTACCTTATGAAGATGAAGTTGATATGAAGATTCTTTGGGAAGGCAATAAAGTCAAACAACTTCCCCGCTCTTGTAGCGAATACATTAATTTTTTCCCTATCTAAAATTTTGACATTTTTTAAATCAGCTGTCAAAATGTCAAAATTTTAGATAGGGAAAAGAAGGAGAATAAAAGATATACATTGGAAAGCCTACGAATACAACAAAGGATTGCCAGATCAATAAATACCAAAGAAGACAAAGATAATACTAAACTACAGTATTCTATTGCGATTATTTAGAAACGGTTCTGTGATTAAGCTTAAGTTTAACTGTGATTCATATTTTATTGATTATTTATTTTTACTTTATATTAATTAAATGTTGTGGAGTCCCGTTTTATTAATATTAATAAGAAATAAATAATGCATAATTATTGATGTAAGTTAAATTTGAAGTGGAATATGTCACCAAACAAAATTCTAATAATGAAATATGTTTCTCATTAATCACCAGAATTCAATAAAAAAACGCTCTTGAAAAAGTTGGAAACAAGCCAACGAAACGTTTAGCAGAACATGAAATAAATTCGTTTATTTTTAATTAAATAACTTGACCATAAAAGCCCAATAAACCCATATTGAATAATCTCAACATTGGTCAACAAAATACACTTCTGAAAGAAATCATTATTATTTCTAATAAAAATGGTGTTCAAATATACTGGGATCCGCGAGACAGCCCAATCAGAATCTCCTTCCTGAAATTCTAACATGTTGTTAAGGATATGTTCAGCATGGTTAAAGAATATTTCATAAACATTATCCGCCAAAGTTAGCAAGGTCATCTTTAGTACATGGGTAATTACTTTATTCCTTAAAATGAATCCTTTGGTGCTGAAGTATGATCATGTTAATTTGTGGGCTTTATGATTTATCCTTCAAGGAGAATTGAAGCCCAATATAATTTTTCATACTCTTATGCAACTAAAAACCTAAACAGAACCATTAACACTCTCACATATTCATTATTTATTAGGCGTCACATAGCCTACGGAACTAAATATTTAGTTGCTAATTATAATCTTGGAATTAAAAATGAGAGCTCACAAAAAAGATTGTCCATAAATTCTATGCTGAACTTTTAAATTGAAAAATAATTATTCACTCATATACAAAGGGTGTCTTAATTTTCAACGCCGATCTAAATAATGCATCTGAAATCGGATCAGAACGAAAAACAAAATAAAAACAATATTTCTGTCTCAAACAACATAATTCTAAAATAATTTTTTGTGATAAGAGTATAATCGAATAGTGAAGAAGAGCCGTGTGTGAAAACACTGAAGTACTTAAAATTTGTTAACACACCTGTTTATGCAATATCGTATTAATTAAGACATATTTATTTTTGTATTCCAGACCGAATTCGTATTTAAATCGCTTAAAGCGTATTTGAAAAGAGCACCATCTCTTAAGGGAGCCGCCTTAGTGAAGTTATCTGCTCTAAAAGTTCAATCGGATCTCTGGAATGGATTTCTTAATGTGTCGATGTTAATATCAAGTCTTCAATCCGTTGAAATATCGTCTGACAATTGGATAGATAACGTTTTAAACATATACAAAGGCAAATTTAGCATACCAACAGAAAAAAGTTTTAATTCAGAATCGCATCAAACGTACGTACCAAAAAAAAAAAACTCGCAAGAGTGGAAACATATCACGTATATTTCTCTTTCAGATGGGCATATCCGATTGTTGCAAAAACTTTCTACGACACTTTAAGTCACTCAATAGGTAAGATATGCAGATATATCAAATATATTAAGATGTGACCAATTGATCATATTAGCGTATTCTGTTGTCAGCACTATATATATATATATATATATAGATATATATATATATATATATATATAGATATATATATATATATATATATATATATATATATATATATATATATATACTATTTGATTAAATCGAAATTTAATACAATCTTGCATAATCCCTTGAAGGTTTTGTTCGACATTCCAGTGATCTATGGTGAGACTAGTTAGTACATTTATGTTTATCTTCGATGGCTGTTTATGATGTCAACGATGAAAATTGGGATCACATTCTTGCGTTTTTGTGTCTGCAACGACTGCTAAAACCTACTCAGACACTTTGGAACTTTTATCTTGGAAAAACTTGGATACTTTTTTCCCAGAGCGTATTTGTATGTTCATGTGTCTTCCTGACATGCATGGTTCTAATCAATCTAAACGGTCAAGTAGTAAAAAAGTTCAAGCGCATCATTGAAATGTTAATGTGTCTGAGTCCCGCGATCTTCCCGCGTCGAAAATTGTTTCGTTTGTCAGAATCAACGACATAAATTTAGACCCGATGATCGGTATAAATTATGAAGTGCGATCATCTCTGTAAAATTGTCCTCTTAAAGGTCATAAAGTAAAAAAAATGTGTTAGTTCGAAATGTAATAAAGTCCATCATACAATAATGATTCGGGAACATATTACAATGGTAATTCGACTCAAATTTCCATCGGAAAATCTAATGTTTCTGAAAATTCCAATTTCAGGCTATCTAGTTAGTGAATAAGGATCCCGTCAAGTGTTCTACACCGCAAAGAACAAATCTGTACTTTTTGATACGGCTACGGTAAATATCGTTCACAAAGGTGTTTTGTGTCTATATATATATTATATATTATATATGCGATATATTATATATCGTGCATCAGAAACCTCTTTTATTTCAGAAGGACTTTACAAACGTCTGAATCTTCCCGTTCATCCCGCTAATGCTGCTGGATCTGAAGTTAGTTGTTCGCTCTTGGCTACTGCTAGTAAAGCTTGTCGTATACAAATTAGCGGCCTAGTCTACCTGATACTTATCTGGCATTAGAAGCAATAGGTTAGTATTGCGTACCATTTCAGGGAATATTCCGCAATTTGTGGCCAATTCAAAGTTGAGGACGCAAATCCTGACCTTCACTTGGCATTGTACGCTGTTTGATTTTATCTACTTTGCACTTAACAATATGGTTAAAAACAGTTACACTAAAGGGGAAGTTTTTGAGGCATCTTGTGAGGCTGACTGGGAAAGTCAGTCAGTTTCCAGTCATATCCTCGATCATATAACTCGATCAGGTTTCAAAGATGGATTCAGGAGTTTCAGCCGAATTTCATGTCTTTTCCGATACCTTCATAAAAATAACTGACGTTCGCACCCGGCTGATAATAATGGCTTAAAAGATGGACAATAAATTTTCTTGTTGGACCGCCTTTGTTAGCGCCGCATGAACCTCTCATCATAGAACAAACATTAAGTCTAGTTAATCGGTTTAGGAATGTCCAGGCAATTATTGAAACATATTTGAAACATTTATACATGCGGTATAAATGGAAATTTTACAGAACGCGAGATAGCAATAGACGAACTAGTTGCTCATTAGGCTGTATTGAAACTGGTCATGTTCGAGTCCGATCCGAGAACGGCGCTGTAAGACGGTCAATCATGAAGTTGGTCGTTCTGGATCCGAATTCAACAAAATGGATTCATCTGCGGTCCTCGCAACTGGTTCACCCATGCAAACCGAGTCCGACTCCATATCTGTGGATTCAACTGCGGCACCGGTCCCTTCTAATAACTTCAAAATTGAAAACTCGCGAAGCGATTCCAGATCTTTGGGTCCATTCCTCAGTCGTTGGAAGAGTCGACAAAAAAAAATAGGTTCCGATTCAAGAATGACGGCATGCATCGAAGAATTGCTAACAAGTGTAATGATTGACATACCAGGAACTGCCAAAGTAAAAGAAAGGAAGATCACAACCCTCTTCTTCGCATTGATTCGAAGACCGCGTTAAACCCATAAGTAATCGTCGGCGTCGCCCGCAAACGGATTAAAGGCACCGGACTGCAAAACGGTCCCTTATACTACTCTCGTTATGAAACTTTAAATATTTCAATTTTTTTAATAACTCAGCAATTTTAATATTGGTTCAATCACATACATTTGCATTGTTTGCTGAATAATTATTTTTGTAGCAAATATTTTTTCTTTACTTCAAATTGAAACCTACTTTGTGTACATACAATTTTACAAGTTTGTTATCTAATTAATAAAAATTTTATATTAAAAAATAAATAAACACCGCATTTTATTTTTGCACAAATAATATAAGAGGTTATGGGCGTTATCAAACAAGAGTCAATCTTGCAATTCCGTGGAACTAATTGTTGAGAACTAGAGTTTCGAGTGTAGATTTATCTGTATTCGATGGATTTGCTGAATGCAACAGAAAAAAATCCACTAGCCGGATAAAAATGTTAAGACAACAATCATCAACATAATAGTATTGGAATTTGTCCGCGACAAGAAAACTGCGAAGGAGATGTGGTCTGCTCTGCAATATACATTTAATAAGAAGTCTGTTACGAATCAGACATTGGTAAGTGAACAATTAGCGGTTATGCGAATGAAACCTGGTGATGATTTGCGAAAACATTTAATATTGTTTGATGAGATTTTACGAAAATTAAAAACTTCTGGAGCAAATGTGGACAAAAGGGATGACATTGCTCAACTTTTTATCACGCTATCAGAAGCTTAAGAGCTAATGCAGCATCAGCTTCGAAGTCAATTTGTTTCATGTCAGCGGCCCCTGATAGTAATTAAAGATAAGTCTTAAGATTTAGTATTCAAAATAGATTCTTGGGCGACGGATCACATGTGTAAACATGATTGGTGTTTCAATGATCTCCAATTTTAAATGAAACCATTACCACATATGTTGGGAATGACACTGATAAAGGATATTAGAAAGATATACCAATCGCAATGAAAGATGTCCTATATGTTAAAGGACTTCGGGATAACTTACTGTCTGTACCAAAGCTAACAAAAAATTGAATATGCGCCATAATTTTTTTTAATTTTTTATGAATGAAACCAAAAAATGTCGGAAATAGCATTAAATTTTAGAATAAGTTTAGATTTGTTCGAATTAGTAAACTTTGACACGATTTATGGCCTTCAAACTGCCAATGAAACCGTCACACGCTCTGCGGTATTTTGGCCCATTCCCGGCGAAGCGCTAGCTTGAGGAGATCTTTCCAAATTACTCCAGACACAATAGTCCAACGGATTGATATCCAGAGATTTTGGTAGGAACTGCGCGCTGAAAATGAAGAGAGGTACCTCATTTTTTAACCATTCTTGTGTGGCGCGTGTTGAGTGCGATGGTGCTGAGTCCTGTTGGAATGTCCAAGGTCTGCGGCCAAAATGTTTGCGTAGCCAAGGCTTTAGTACACCCTCTAGAATATTTTCGCGAATACATTTTGGTTGTTTACAAACTGCTGGATAACGAATGTTTTCTCATCGGAGAAAACCAAATTCGGCAGCTCACCACCTTCGGCCAAGCGGAGTAACTCTTTAGCTCATTTGGGTCTATTTTCTTCCTGTTGCAGTGTAAGTTCTTGCACTTTTTGGAATGTCAATGGGCTTATTTTTCAATATATGCCGAATGGAATATGTTCAGCTCACGAGCCATTTTTCGGTTTCGATCAAGTCGCTTCTTTACTTGTCGAACCATTTCTGCTGATGTTGCTGTTTTCTTCCGTCCACTTCCTTGACGTCGGGCTACGCTTCCAGTAATACCGTAACGAGCAATTGTACGAGACACAAAATATTTATTCACATTGAAATGCTGGAGTGCTGTAATGATAGTCACTTGTGGTTTTCAGCCAAATATAAAGAATTCACACTATCACGCTTGAATTCCATCACGAATAACTTTTTTCTGGAAAATTCTCACCAAAATGCTTTTTTACGCTTGTAAACAATATAATGAACTGTCACTGGAATAATTTTAACAGCTGTCGGACGAGTGGCTTAGAAATGACAGCAGTCTGAATTTGGTGCAGTTTTTTATCTCACACTGCAGACCTGTTGATAGGAGTCTATCTTTACCCCAAATTAATATTAAATGGTTGGCGTTCGATTTTGTTTACTGGCTCAAAACACAGTGTTTGGCTGACTTCTCACATGTTCTATTCCAGCAGCCCAACTTCATACTTTCGCCACTACTATTGACGTAGTGTGCAAAGTTCGAGGTTAGGAAACCCACTTCCAATAGTAGACTTATTTTGGATTGTTTGTAGAAGCTAGCAGTTCCAAATCATTGAGCACTAGGTAAAATGTGCTGTTAGATTTTATCCACTTTGCACTTGATAATATGGTTAAACCCAGTTACACTAAGAGAGAAGTTTTTTCGGCTATTGTGAGGCTAAATGGGAAAAGGATGCAGTCATATCCCCACGTAAACTTGATTAGGTTTCATAGATGAATTCAGGAGTTTTCGCCGAATTTCATGTCTTTTCCTATGCCTCGAAAAAGGCGTTAGCGGGGGTAATCTATATGCATTTCGAATACCCAGATGGAATAATTTTTGTTCATTTGGCTTACTTTTCATTTGGTGTAAAGCGTTTCAAGTCATTGCTAGTAAAATTTTCTTCATAAAAATAACTGATGTTCCCTCCAGGCTGATAATTATCGTTAAAAAGATGGACATTTTCCTCCACAGAAATTTTTCTTTATGGGCCGCCTTTGTTAGCATAGCACGAACCTCTCATCAAAGAGCAACCATTAAGTCTGTGTAATCGGTTAAATAAAGTTCAGGCAAATATTGAAACATATTTGAAACATTTACACTTGCGGTATAAATGGAAATTTGCAGAACGCGAGATAGCAATAGAAGAGCAAGTTGTCGGTAGGATGTATCGAAAATGTTTATCCGGGAATTGACGGTCACGTTCGAGTTCGATCCGAGAACGGGGTTGTACGGCGACCAATCACTAAGCATCACTCTATAAATTATTATATAGTATGTTGATGAAATTAGATTCCGAATATAAACTGTTGAATGTTGATGATGGAAAAACCACCTTAGATTGTCCTCGCACTGATACCACATTGTCTTCTGCTGCCGTAGAAGCAGAACTCGTAGAACCGTTTGCGGCCGTAATGATATCCGATCCTGGATCCGAATCCAATAAAACGGATTCATCTGCGGCTCTCGTATCTGCTGCACTCATGCAAACCTAGTCCGAATCCATATCTGTGGATTCATCTGCGGCACCGGTCCCTGCTAATAACCTCAAAATTGAAAACTCGCGAAGCGATTCCAGATCTTTGGGTCCATTTCCTCATTTGCAACAGATTCAAGAAAAAGAAAATCCTCTTATAATATCCCGTAGCAACGAGCAAGAGGAGGAATGTGTGGAGAATCTCGTTCCTGCTCAACATTTCAGCAATGATGAAAGCAATTTAGATGTTGAATAGGTTTCTGCAGAAAATGATAACGATATTAATTCTGTCGATAAAGAAACCACTAGTGACGAAAATGAAGCCACGGCATCGCAATCCGAACCACCAAACTCCGAAGCTGTTTCATTGGAGCCAAGAAGAAGCGAAAAATTAAGGCCAAAATTAATAGGTTATGTGGTAGGAATTGACAATTGTGCCTAAAACATATGACGAAATCATGAAGTGTTCCTTTAAATATAATTGGATGAGAGCTGCGAAGGAAGAGATTAACTCTATTGAAGAAAATCGTATTTGCGATTTGGTTCCACGCCCTGTCAACCATAAAATATTGAAGTCTAAATGGATATTTCGATCCAAGATGCTGGAACACAAAATTAAACGATTTCTTGCTCCAGCTTGGTTTTAAGAAATCTTTACATGATCCGTGTCTTTATACAATGTTTCAAAGGAATTCGGTTTTGTTACTATAAGTGGACGATGTATTGATTGCGGAAAATTATTTGAAAGCAATAGGGGAGGTAAAATCGGATCTACGTGCATCATTCAAAATGTCCGATTGTGGATCCCTACAATATTACTTGGGAACGAAGATTGAATATGAACAATATTTGAATATGAACAAAAGGCACAATGAAGCTGAACCAGAAAAATCGCACTGAAAAGACTCTTGAAAAATTCTCAATGAAAGAGTGCAATCCTACAAAAAATCCAATGGAAAATGCATTGATTCTTACAATAGGAACCCAAGAGTTAAGGGACAAACCATATCGTGAAATGCTAAAATGCTAATGTTAAGCGTCCGACCAGATATATGTCATCAAATATCGTACATCGGTCCAGGCGAGCTACATTGGTCTGCATTAAAAACAATCGTTCGTTCCACCATAGTGTGGAGGGTATATTAAGTTTGTCATTCCCTTTGTAACGCCTCGAAACACACATTTTAGACCCCGCAAAGCATATATATTCTTGATCAGCATAAAATTCTAAGTCGATTTAGAGATTTCCACCCATCTGACCGTCTGTGGAAATCACTCTAGCTTTCGAACGAATTGAAGTAGATTGATAAAATTTTACTCAAATGTATGCTATGTCTGCAGGACTTTTGGTATTAAAAAATGGGATATGTAGGTCCACGGTTTGGTATAGCTCCCCTATAACGGTATCTCCCGATATTGGGGTGTTTGATGATGTCAGAGACATTACTTACCGGAATTGATTGAAATTTGGTATTTGAAGTCCGAAAGGGATACTACAGCCTAAGAAGGAAAATTGTCTATGCAGGTCCACGTCTTCGTATAGCCCCCTTATAACAGTACATCCCGATATTCGGTATTTTGATGATTTTAGCCACGTTTTTCACCGGAATTGTTTCAAATTTGGTATTTGAAGTTCGAAATAGATATTAGAGCCTAAGACAGAAAATTGTCTATGAAGGTCCACGTCTTCGCACAGTCCCCATATAACGGTACCTCCCGATTATTGATATTTTGATGATTTCAGCGACGTTATTCACCCGAATTGTTTCAAATTTGGTATTTTGTAGTGGATAGTACAGCCTAAGACAGAAAGTTGTCTGTGCATGTCCACGCCTTCGTATAGCCCCCATATAACGGTAAACCCGATAATCGGTATTTTGATGATTTTAGCGACGTTATTCACCGGAATTGTTTCAAATTTGGTATTTGAAGTTCGTAATGGACAG